GGCGATACTGTCCTCCCACCTGATCAGTTCCAAATACTGCCGGACGGCTCTGCTGTGTATTGTCTAAAGGAATATGTATTGGCTGAACTCAACCTCGATGCTCTGGGAATCATGTCCACTGTAGGAACAGTTCTATCCATGATATCTGTTTTAATCGTAATAACTACATTTTCACTCTTCCCAACCCTTCGCAATCTGGCTGGCAATTTGATTCTTTCTCTCTCCATTGCTCTTCTGATAGCATTTACATTACTATACGTGGGTGCTTTGAATATACAAAATACGATCCTTTGCAAGGCAGTGGCAGCTATCACGCACTATTTCTTGTTGTCACTTTTCTTCTGGATGAACGCACTCGCCATCGATCTGAACCGGACATTTGGGTCTCGCGTCAAGTTACAAATTCGGGCAAAATCTAATAAAGTATACGTCTGGTATGCCCTCTACGCTTGCGGAGCCCCAGCGTTGATAGTAGGTACTTGCCTGGCACTCGACTTGTGTGGCTGTACTGATCTTCACCTCATCTATGACAATGATGATTTATGCTGGCTATCTAGAGGAGATGCAAGCCTTTTCGGCTTCGGCGTACCCCTTGCTTCACTCCTGTTTCTGAATGCAATCTTGTTCATTGACACCATGCTGGGGATAAGACTTACCAAAAGAGCGGCCGACAGAGCATTGAGAGATAGAACAGCTCTAGTAAAAGCAAAGGAGGAACTGTCACTCTATGTCAAGGTAGGAAAGTAATACCGCTGTTTCGATAATCTCTTTACTAATGTTGTAAAACCTTATTCAGCTCTCGAGAGTGGTCGAGACCAAGTTAGTTTGTTAGTTCCCTGGTGCAGAAAAGTCATTCCTTCAAAATTGCCCTGTTTACACAAAGAAGGCTCACCAGTTTAAGTGCAGTGCATACTGAGGCCCCTGCAATTATCATCATCCCGGCAATTACCAGGTACCTATTTACACCGGGTTGGATTTGGGGTATTGGTATAAGAGAAGACAAAATGCGACCTGCAATCGTTTTAATTTTTCAATTTTGATTGACTTTAAAGACATTTCCATTTCATACATAATGTTGTGTTTCGTCAGACAATCAAGTTACTGTGGATTTTGTTTAAGGAAATTAAAAGTGTTACTTCATGGAATATGTTCCAAAGTTTAACTTTTAGTTAAATTCAAATTCAGGTGCGCTGCGAAGAGCTTCATAGTATCTCTGTTTAAAGTGACTCTCACACTCTGCCGTGTAGGCCCACCGTGTGCCAGTGTGCGCGAAAATGTCTGCGGACGGTGGAGAACGGCGAGGGCACACGGTGGTTCGTTATCAAAGCGGGCAACACGTTAATAGGGCGTTGGCGCTTATTTACACCCGGTGGGACCCGGCGAAAGTTTTGGGCATGTTCAAAACTTTGGCCGGCTGGCACCGGCCGCAAGTAAGCGGCAAGAGGACGGTGTTGAACGGTATGAGGACGGTATGAATACGTTATGAAAACGGTCACACTGTATGAACACGTTCACAACACGCTCATAACCCGTTACAGAACGGTGATGAAAAATGGAGAGCGGACTGACCGTTGCCGTTCAAATCGGGGTATTTATGGCAGTCGTGTCATGACGTCTGCAGTCCGGGGACTCGCTCACAGGACGCTCCGAGCGGTGAGGGGACGCTAAGTGACTGGTAGGTGGCTGCTACAAACCCGGTGCACACGTTCGAGACCCGGTATGGGCCCGGTATGGAAACGGCCAAAATTTTCAACAAAAGTCAATCTGGGCGGTGAAGACGGTAGAAGCACGTTCAACACCCGGTATGCGCCCGGTGAGAACGGTCAGAAGATGGCAACGAAACGGTGAAAAGATTAATTTTATGATTTTTTTTTTTGCGGCCGGGGACAAGTTCGCTCAAAACCCAACGTTCTGGACTCTGTTGTGTTTTTAATAGCCCGGCAGGTGGACGGTAGGCCTACACGGCAGAGTGTGAGAGCTCCATAAAGGGAGGGTGGGGTTAAACTTGCAGTTATTTAATTATTTGTGGAGGTGTCGTGATATTCATGTCATGAATCCACATTTGCCACTCTCCAACCAGGTGTAAATAGGTACCTGGTAATTGCTTGGGGTAATAATGAGTGCAGGGCTCTCAGGAGCAACATCACTGAAGCCGATGAGCCTTCTCTTGGTGAACAAAATTTATATTATTATTTGATATGTAACATAGGAAGATCGTAAACACCCTTTTCACCTGTTATTGAGCAACTCAAATTAATATAACTGTATTTTTCCTTGCGAGAGTTCATGTGAGACTAAACTGAAAACAATATAGAGGTGAAATGGCCCGAAATAAAATAAACGAACAGTCAGACCATTATATGCTTCTTTCCAGAGCTATAGTTGTGAAAGACAGTTCCACCATCGGAAGTTGCTAGTGATTAGCCAGCAGTCATTTCGGGGAGACTCAAAAAAGGTTCAATATCTGGGGGAATGAACTTTTCGGAGCTCCATAATTTTTTTAAATGACCACCCACGCTCTGTGTCAACTTTATCTTTTAATACCCTCTGATTCTTCCTTAATAGTTGTCTGGTGTCTTAGGGTTCACATGGATCTTGGCTTTCGCCAGCCAATACGTCCCGGAGCTCTGGTACGCCTTCACTGTCGTCAATTCGCTGCAGGGGGTCTTTGTCCTTCTGGCTTTCGGCTGCAACAAGCGCATTGTCGCCCTGTGGAAGGAGAAATTGGGTATCCGACGGGATGACGTCATATCCGGCGGCGAAGACACAAACAGCACCAGCAGAGGTACCAGGGGCGGATCCAGCGTTTTGTAAAAAGGGGGAGGGTCGCAATCCGAAAAATATATCTGACAAGCAAAACCAGAAAAAATAATTAAAAAAAAAAAAAAACGACAATAGAAAAGAAAACCCTGCTCAAACGAAAAATATGACATTTCATATTTCACATTCGATAATATTTCATTGTTCGGTTAATAAATAAAGGAGGGGTGATAGCAATTTTTGAACCTAAACAATATTTTACGAAATAGCTATGTCAACACTAGTTACTTCGAAAATGTTCACATGCCTCGCAGTGAGTGTTGAATGCCCTATATAATGACTAAGCGTTGTTTTTTCCAAGTATTTGCCCGTACTTGTTTTTTCTAAGTTGGGTCTGACAGTACATATTTCATAATTCTATATTTATATCTTTGCTAGATTAATTCATCAGCGCAAAGAATACACTATTTTCATTCATCCATTGCAGTTTATTCATTGAGATATGCTTTTTCCTTTAAATAGTCTCATGGGGAGAATGAACAAAGAGCCGATATGTTTTAAAAGAACAATAATTAAATGTATAGCCAATATTTCTCATGTAAACGCAATTTTTCAACATCAACAAAAAGGTTTTTAACAGTATTTCAAATCATGGACAGACCCATGCATGCGTGAAGAAAAAAAATGGAACACAAACGGCTGAGATATTTAACAAAACATATGGCTTTGAAAGCGATTATCTCACATGGGGCCTGCCTAAATTAGGGTTAATATCGATCGCAACTGTGCACAGAAGAGATGGGAGCCTGCAAACTTGGAATTAATTTGAATCAATCGTAAATGTCATGTACAAGCCTTTCTCATCAAAATGCTGGAATGAAACCGCATAACTCTTTATAACGCTAGTGACCACTACAGCATTTAGAAAGAAACAGGCCTCAATTTTATTTCTTTTATAATTATCAGGCGCAGCATTCTCATCAAGGTTTTGGAATTAAAACTGCCCTGACTCTTGATAATTTCGGAGATATTCAGACAAAAATATGAAGACCTAAATTCTTTTATCCAGCCCATTCAGATCAAAATACTGGAAATAAATGCAAGGGACTCTGATTAAAACCCATTTTTATTTCTTTTATACCAACCCTCATCAAATTATTGGAATGAAAAATCTGTTTTTAACATCGAAGACTATAAAATAGCATTCAGATCGAAATAGAATGCGGCCTATATTTTTACCGTCGTCGGAGAATTTTTAGCATTCACAAAAAGAACAGTTCGTTTTGATGAATGAAGACCCAATTTCTGTTTCCTTCAATCCCATACCCATTAAAATACTGGAATGAAAATGAAAACTGCTTGGACTTTTACTAACATCGAAGGCTTCAGCAGAATAGGCAAAGGATGAAAACCTCAATTAATTTCTCTGATGCCTGTCTTGAAATTGCATCAAGTTAAATGGCTGATTAATATATGAAGCCATATTTCCACAACAATTTTATATCATCATTATCTCTTTGTGAAAGAGAAACAAGTACTGAATTCTTGGAGGTTTAAACCCTATACAATTTGTATTCCATCTTATGATAATGTCTATATGCCTTGAAGGCTTTCTGCATGTTTTTCACTATTTTTTTTCCTCATATCATTTAGCGATTTTTTTTGTTGTTGTTCTAGTAACGTAAACAGGTTGACCAGGTGAATTTCTCATTTTTGGAAAAGGTAATTTTTTTTGTATAGTCAATATTTTATATCATTTAGCGATTTATGTCTTTTTATTTTGGGGATAAGTGACGTAACCATGTTTACCAGGTGATTTCATTTTGAAAACGGTCATTTTTTTTCCTATAAAACCGTCATATGTAATGATTCTGCATGGTCTTTTTTTTTTTCTTCTTGTGCTAGCGGCAAAAATTTAGATAACAGGTGAAAATAATAAATTATGTCTTTAGATATTTGTTGTCATGCGAAATCTTTATTTGATGATTGATGTATTGCTGTTTAAAAGGTAATGTAGTATTCTCAAAATTAACATAATTGTATGTTTGAACAACGCTGGGTTCCGTCTTACAGCTATGTAACGGAGACTGCAAACTTGTGATTTATTAGAGGACCTGCGATTGATTCGCAACTATTTATAACACCGGGTTCCGGTATATCTCTCACCTTGCTCATTGCATATTTCATATTAAAAAATGTGTTGACTACAAAAGAAAAAGTATACATGCAGTCTTTAGAGATTTCAATTAAATAAGATTGTAATTTATTATATCAGTAATGAACTCAGATAATGAATACTTACGAGCATAAAAGTAAATCAACAATCACACTACGATAAATGAATCACGAATGAATACAGTAATTCTGTCTTAATAGTCCATTAGGTACTTTCACTAATTATTTGCAAAAAAAAGACCTAGCCTTAACAACTAAATTATTCATAAGCCTTGTATATTGTACTTGTATTGGTTGAATTAGGGCCTTTAGTGAATATTCTTAGATGTATGTTTATCATTTCACATTCTCAATAAAATTAAATGGGGACAAATTAAATGTTCACCTACTTCAAATATTAACAAATTTGGTACGGTTATGAATAATTGAGTTGTTAACTGTTCATTAACGCACTAACACAAAATCGAACGGATAAATATTCTTCACAATTATGTTACATCTTGAATTCTTATGTATGATTTCCATGCAGTAATTCTCTCGATTTTGTCTAATTGGTTCAAAAGCAGTCGTGGAAAATTAATTAATTCATGAAAGTTTCAATGAAAAGATAAAGTAGATTCTTTCATAGCCGTATAATTGTATAGTGAATGGATACATGATAATGGTGTTAATAGTTGATACAATGATAAACCTCTTTCAAATATGGCATATGATATTCCTTATGTCTTAAAACCGATCACTTTACAGCGTACATAAACATATATATACAATTACGTTTCATTCTTACAAAAACAGGACTGTGAGATATGTCAGATGAAAGTCATATGCCAGTAGCATGCCAGTAGTATGTTACTTGTTAATGTTACTGTTTAGATTGAGATTTTACAATGAAATATTGATGCAACCTAGTTTAAAAACATTTAATGTAACAGTCAACATGCAATCAATTTATATTTACCTTGCATACAATTGCAAAATCACATTAACATGATATAATATATGTAAAAATGTATGAATAGTTTAATAAAGCCACTTGAATATTTACAAACCCTTTCTACCCCTTTTCCTTTTCTCTTGTGTTTAGCTAAATTGATCTTCAATAATAAGTATACACAGCTTCGAGAGAAATTGATCTTCAATAATAAGTATACACAGCTTCGAGAGAATACATTACCTATCAAAATCATTTCACGATTTATTCATTTTTTTCTTGTATATTTTTAAACTCTAAAAGTTGCAATACTATGAGTGCATTTTCCATTTTAATATAATAGAGCAGCATTGGAATCGAAATATTACACTTTACCGATAAATGTTCGTTCAATGATTGCATAATATTTCAGAAAAGATATGTCTTCACACTCTGTTTGAATCATTTTATTGATGGGAATTTTTGTTTCAGATACACTATTATTTTAAAAATAAATATATCGGGAAAAAAATATCCAATACAAATTTTTTTACAATAGTATAATTTTATCCTTCATTTTAAATGATAATTACCAAAAAAAAAATCGAAGTTTCACTCTCATTAATGAGAAGCGAACATAGAGAATTATCAATCGACTTTCGGAGCTGTCGGACCCTTCATGCTCGAGCACTTTTTCAGGGTCAATTTAAACCATGACACTGCACTGTGTTTAGAATCGTCCCGGCGTAGTGTCGGTAATGATTTGATCCATAGTAGCTAATTCTCACATTATGAACTCCAAAATACACGCCACAAACAAAAAACACAATCACAATCGCATTTTTAGCAACCAGTTAATTCACATGCTTTTTTGTCTGAAGTAAATAAAGAGAAAAGAATGAATAAAAAAAAGTGGGAAAGAAATAAAAATCACACAAACATTATCTTCATCACCTTTAAGGTTCATACTTAGAATTTGACCAACCAAGAAAATATACATTACAAAATGATTCAAAGATTATTCATTATTAGTCTTTTCTTTGAAAATGTATAAAGAAGCATTTATTTTTTATTGCTGCATTAATATGTACATGTAAATGTATTAAGTCACAACTGATGAGTTTTTAAGATTACCGTTTGAAACAACTTGTCTACAAAGATCGCTTTTTGCGTTTGCCTTGAGCGGTCTTTATAACCAGGTTCGACTACATTAAGGAGAGAACCGGTTCCAGAGTGTACAAGCAGCAGAGGAAAAAGCTGCATCACCAGCCAGTTAGTTACTGAGTGGCTGAACAATTAAATTTATGTAAAAAAACATCGACGATAGCTAAGCTTCGTGCTCACATTTTGAAAAAAAAATCCGTCATAGTGCCTATAATTTTGATAAGCGAAGAGCAGTATATGGTAGCTCGAGTTTATATAACGAGGGGGTACCGGCATCATTGGGGGCATCGGGAGAGGGGGGATTTGGGAAGGGGTCGTATCGTCGTCTGACGTCCCCTTTCTACCTCTTCCCTTTTCCATTTTCCATTAATCCATAACTTTTACCTAATTTAATACCCTTTGATTAAGCGAGGCACGTGACCAACGTTCCTAATTTTGTCTATGCCACTGCTTGAAGGGAATTATTATAACCATATCGCTCTCAACAGGACTGCTAATCTTAAATTGTCGTTAGTTCTTTTGATCATCCTCTTCGTTCTTCTTTTCGTCTTCATCCGGGTTTCTGGTTCGAGAGATAGCAGCATGAACCTTTATTATTCAAATAAAGGAAACAGAAAATAAAGTAATAAGTTTAAGAAATAAAGAACTAAAAATAATCAATTGAAAATGAAAAGATAAATAATAAAATAAACGAAAAATGAATGATAATCGGGCGTGCCAGGAGGGTCAAATCTGACTGACATGAGCGCTATACAAGAACCCACTATTATTATTATTATTAATATTATTATTATTATTAAAAATGAATATTGTAATAACTGACCACATAAATGAATGATAATGGCTCAAAAATTGGTCGCATGCAAAAATTATTCCTGATAGACATATGTGTTTACATATAAGTACGGAGGGGTTTGATAATTGCAACAGTAATTTTCTTAACAATATATCGGGTTTGCTCTCGCTATCATGCATATGAAATTTGAATTCAAGATAGTCGTGTCTGTTCTTGTAATGAAGAAACTTTAGTCAAAAGAGGAAATCAATCTTATTCTGTATTTGTTTGTTGGTTCAAATAGGCAGATGGATTTTTTTTTCATTTGCCACCCTTTCCATCCTCTTTCTTCACCAAATGTGAAATCCCATGGAAAACAGTAGAGACCCCTTTTTGTGATTGAGTTACGTTGAAATACTCTGTAACTCAGATCAATATAATTAACATCTCTCGAGAGCCAGAGGGGCGTAAACATTCTGTTAAAGTATATGCTTTAACTACCTTCTGGCTCCAAGCAACCCATATCATTTTGTTATTTCAGGAAAAATAAACAAACAATCATACCTCTGGATTCATTGGACAGTAGAAGATGAACACCAGAATACCCTGCAAAAAACAAACCAAGTATAAACGATAAACTAGGGTCAAGCAGAACCAGACATTCTTTATACTGCATATATATGCTGGTTATGATAACATATAACAGCTCTTTTAGTTTCATCGATAAAAAAGTTATTCGGGTAGACTCTACCGCGAATCGACACAAGGCAATTTCAATAACCTTGTACGTCATTTCCTGAAAGGTGTGAACATTACAATGACGTATTACTTAAATACGAACATGATATTTATGATATTATGAATTAGGTAAACATGTTTGATTGCGTGTAATTAGGTTTTTACAGATGTGTATCTGGGGACCGATCTTTAACGTCACCATCCGAAAGATCTGACTCAATTTCAAACCGAGGTCGCCTGGGCCAGTTTGTTGGTGAAGATTTTTTTTTAAGGGCAGCTGCAAAGGATCTTTTTGAGATGTTAGAGACACTTCACGCAAATCCTGGCTGGTAAACTTTAGGTATGGAAAGAAATGTTTAGTAATTTTTTCTGCAACTGCAAATGGTAGACGGAAGAGATGGATGGGGATGGAGAACGCTGGAAATCATTCATCTTAAACACGTTTGTCAAAAAAAAATTAAGAAATGAACCCCGGAATGAACCGAAAGCTTTGTATGTTATATGTTTTCTAGGTTACATCATTTGATTTTTTTGCTTGTATTTGTATATAATAATCATAGCATTATGACATGATTGGTGGTATAATAATGTAAATAAGGGGAAGAATGCAATACCCTATTCTACTGCCGAGAGGAATGGTAGTCGGATGAAATATGAAATCGTAAAGTACGCGCATATCAAGGTGACGCACGGGCCTACTAAAATTGCCTTTTTTTTTTGCCTGTTTCACAATAGGCGTCATTTTTGCTGACGTAGGAATGCGTCAACGAATGGTGTGGTCTTTGACGCGTGATGTGAAGGTTAAATCATACAAATAATCATTGACGCAAATATTGACGTAAAAGATAACTGCTTTGACAGTCTTGATAAGCGGATGTAATGACGCAATCGAATTAACGCCACGTGTGCAATATGATAAAAAAAAAAAAATTCTTCAAAAGTCTTTGTCGATTTTAAAAAGTCAGAATCTACCATCTTACTTGGATCATGTTGAAAATGATGAAGAGGTAATCGAAGGCGATGATGGATCTGAAGACGAGCAGGGCATGCCAAAACCAGGCCATCACGAGAACGAAAGAGAGGATGAGTGACGATGAGAGGCACAGACTAGAAGATGAAGGAGATAATACAAAAAATTGACATTGAGATTGAGTTTTACAAAATTATTCGACACGTGATCTATTAGCAATATCTATGCGGTCAATATTACATCGAGACCAATCGTCCTCGAGACTAAAAGCCCACGAGACTGAAAACAAACAAAACTATTAAACAAACAAAGAAAAAAATATGCATAGACATTGATAGCTCAATGTCGGTCTCGTGGGCCGTTGATCCTCTGCACCCTCTGAAAAGTGGTAAGAGGGCCCACGAGACCTACATTGTCGGTCTCGTTATCTGTCGGTCGTGTGAACCCTTCAGAATGATCTCAGAAGGACTGTCACACCGGCATTCACGGTTTCGTCGATTGTCGGTCCAGTGTGATGTCGATCTCGTGGGCCAACTGTTTGTGCATGAACCCTCACAAAGTTTCAGAAGGCCCACGAGACCGGCAATTTTAGCTTTCTTGATGTCGGTCTCGTCGATCGACTGAAACGTCACAAACTGACTTATTACCTGATTCGCTTTCGTAGTTTCTTGGCCCACTCAACGTATCCGTCGATGTCCTCTGTATAATGATCATCCATCTTGATGAGATATACCACGGTGCAGATGGCGAGGCCGAAGTTGATCTGAAAAGATAAGATAAGTGAAGGGCAAGGGTTAAAGTGGCAATTCAGGGAACACTCTTAAAATTCCAATTGAGCAAAAGTAAATTAAACATTCAAGATGTCCAAGGGAAGAAAACATTTTTTAACGTTTGCATGGAATCATCCTTCAAGGTTTGCCTCAGCATTTGAAAAGGGTGAATCTATCTTTTTGAAATTATTTGAAAATTGTTATCATTTGCGTTTTATAATTTAATAAAGAAAAGGGGTATTAGGAAGAATAAAGACTTGTGACACTCCTACAAGCTCTCCATTTAAAACCTTAAAACAAATCCCTGTTAGCAAATATTACAATCTGAGTACCTAAATGACATGTTAATATATCGATAGTTTAGACTAACTTGTAAGCAAAATTGGTCTAAAATCCTCCACTCCAACATTGAAAATTGGTGCACAGTGACGCTCCTGATGTATTGTAATATAGTGTATGACAAATTTCACGAGTAAAACAAAGTTTCAGCGTTGGGAAATTTCCCGCTGATTAGACGTTACCTGCAGGTTTACAATGGGAAGTGATTATTCACAATTAACGCGCGATGTTTTGCTATCCTTTTTGAAATTTATCCTTTATTTATTGTTCTCAAACAAATCTAAAGTTATGTTCTGTTTTTTTTTAAAACCCCGTCTGTACTAGTTTGGCCAGAAGAGATTAGACCACACAGGCTTTCTCATCAACTCAGGTGTCCATAAACATAAGAAAAAGAGGATCATGGGGACCAATGGTCACCGTTTAGGTATTGTTTTCTATATAGAGGGAGAAAGTAGCTACAGTGGGGCTTTAAAGTAATCTCAAATGACTAGTGAATGTGCTCAAAACTGCCAAAATAGAAATATTTGATACTCTTCTTTCCACATGGAATTCGATTCAAATCACAGAAAACCAAAATGACAAAAATAATTTAATCAACATACCACGAGTGCCAGTGTGATGAGTGAAATGAAGATAATGTACACGTTCTCAGTCTCGACCAGCCAGCAACTAAAGAAAAACATGTAAATTACTTAATAATGAAATATTGTCTATATTTCTAGTGTTTGGAAAACTTGGCGCTCCATAGATCAGTGTACATGGTGAACTAAGTCAAATTAGGTTTTTTAAAGGGTTATTTTGTAATTTTCCTTTATTTGTTCTCATTATAATTAAGCACGATAAATAAATATCTTAATAAATATGTGATCTTATTTAATCTGAAAATTACCTTGAGAGACTTGTTGGCTTCTGAATCTTTGCTTTATATATATATATATATATATATATACCCATGTTAATTGTCTTTATTTGTGTTAACCAAATGTGGATATAAAATTGAATTGAATTAAACCTGAATTGAAGCTAGGTTTAAAGATCAAGTTGAGTACTGCGTATGGATTACATTATGAAATAAACTCTCTGGAAGCAAATGAGAAAATGCGTTTACCCTTTGAGTATGAATTGACACCATTGGGGCATTTAAACAATTCACGATGAAATTGAGAGATGTCATGACCTACCTGTCCGGGGTACCGAATCCATACGGAATTTCCTTGTACAGGAGGCCAATCAATAGCAATGGTCCAGCTAAGATGAATGGGAAACAAGGAGAGTACAATTATCTTTAAAATAAATAAACTCAAACAAGACTTAATGCCATTTAAGTTTGAGTGTTGATATATTTCCTTTTTATGTTCTTTCATAATTGATCTTAGTCTCACTTAATAGCCCAAGTATCTCCCTTTATGACGACATCTCATTTTCAATGATAAATAAATCATGGAATGTGCAGAAAACCTATATATGACAATAAGTCAAAAGCGAAATGTGGCAAAAAGCATTGTTATTGTCAACAGTGGATTCCCTATTTGTTTGGAAGATGGGTTCTGATTTCAATCATAACTTTACAGTCAATAAAAACGCATAAAAAAATTCATCTTCCAAACAAAATGCGAAGACAGCATTAGACCTCAAGTACCACCACTTCAACATAATCTAATATACATTTTCCTCCTCCAAAGAATAGTAGAATACACCATTGACGTTCATAACTTTGTATGACCCCTTAATCTAACTCTTGTTTTCCTTTTGAAAAGTAGTTTTTATCTCATACGTACTAGTCTAAAACTTACCCCACACCAGGAGAAAAACCCTAGTCAGTCGGATAGGTTCAGTGATGCTCTTCTCCGGGACTTTGAGCGGGCCGAGGTTCGACTCTCGAGGCTTACCATGTAGGTAACACGTATTGAGTAGGACTGCGGTCTGGACCACCAACCACAGGGCGTAGACCGTGTAGAGGTACTGTAAACCAGCGGCGATGATCGCGCAAACGAGCTGCGGGAGTAATTGGAACGAGACAGTAATGTTCTATGTTAGTCGAAAGACCAATATTCTAGGACCATGCTTTTTGAGGAGGAAAAGATGGGAACTATGTGTGATGGAACACGGACTCAAATGATTTATGTGAGTTCTAGCTTAAACACGTTGTTGCAATTCAATGATGAGACAAAGGAGACATCCGTTTAACTCATGTTGGTTCCTTTATTGTGACACCGTCGTGGATCATCATTGGAAAGTGAAGAGAAAATTCAACAACTGTGTGGGATATTCCTTAAGGATTATTTAAAGAGTTCCCATCTCAACATAGAAATGCTGGAACTGCAAGCAAACTGCTAAACTGTTGGCGACTGTCGTCACTGTAAGCGAATTGCTATTACGTAGATAACAACTATCGTCTTCCCCTTATTCTCCGAACTATTTCTTCTAGTCTCGTCATAAGTCTTAAACATAACTTTCAGAACAAGAAAAAAGTCATTCCATGACATCATGGAATGTGAAATTCAACGACATACTCTTTCATGGAAAGGGCTTACCAACATATTGATCCCAGCTTCAATATCGAAGCCATTCTGATAGCATATTGAAGAACGCATGGTCATGTTTGTTCGCCCCAAGGTGGTATAATTTCCTGTTTTTGTTTAACTTCTTTCCTCTTTAACATATGAAAAGTGTACATGAAGTCGTAATGTGAACTATAACAAATTAATCATCTGACACCGTATTACACTGTAAATCAAATATCGTCATTTGAATATTCCAAAGAAAATGCCCCTCCCTCCCCCTAAAAGAAAAATACAAAGAAACCCGATGTCCAGCTCCCTCCTAACCACCTCTTACCACCCTAGCCCTGTGCGGAGAAACAGTCAGAAATAGGAAACAGTCAGGTGGAAGGGGGGGGGGGGCAGGAGGGCGATGTCGCTCGTATCTACACTAATTGGCAGGTCTGTACATGTGATCTTACCAGGTTGCCTGTAGCCTTCATTCCAAACAGAAAGGTGGCATTTCCTGCAAGGGAGCTTACGGCGATGTTCAACTGAATCTTGGTTAGTTGAGACCCTTTCACACTGGATACAAAAATAATTCAAAAAATGTATAAATATCAGTGAAAATGAGAAGCATTTACGTTGAAATGGGAAATTCTGTGAAAGTCTGTAAAACCACTGAATACGAGAGCCTGCATGCAGAGAGCCGATGGGAATATAATTCATGCCCTTAATTCTCACAATCCTGGATCTGACCGTCTTTACTTATCCACTAGGCCACTGGACACTGGGCAAATATTAGTGCTTTGCATTGTAGATAATTTTATAAACATTAAACCTGAATAGGCATTTATTCATTTTGTTCGTTTTTCCCTTGTGCTATTAGGCCCTATTTATTACAATTGGAGTTAATTTGACTTAAATAATATTATTACATTAGTATGTTGATTTTGAATGCATCATACAAGTTTCGATTTTTATCAAATGAAACGCCCCCTGCGTTCACAGTAAATATGTTTAGGTCAGTAAATTCACATTTTCTTCCCTCTTTCTCTTGATTAATTGATGTTAAGTTTGTAACATGCTCATGAAAAAAAATCATGGGTGATAAGTTTACTATACTTTACGTTAATCATTGAATTGTTATGTTGTTTCTATCTTTAAATCAAAACAAAGCAAAAAATAAACTAGAAAAAATAAATCTGAACAAACAAACAAGCAACTGACCCAAGAGTGACAAAGACGACGAGCATGACCAGGACACCGATGACCGAGATAAACCCCAAGGTCTTCTCAAGAATTAAGAGAATGACGGCGTTGATTCCATCCACCTTGAAGCTCTGCATTAAGGAAAGAGTAATAACTTTGTATTAGTTTCTTTTCTTCTCAAGATAACGCTGTAATATAGATTCAAAAAATTTAGCATCAGATATTATATCATGGAACGATAGATGCTTTCTATGTTATTCTACAAGTCAGGTTGGAATCTGTAGTGAATACGAATCGTGCCATTCGTTGCGTTGAAGCGGGAATCGTCGTAAAAAATATTCAATTAAACAAACAAACCAACTAACTCTCTTACCATTCAATACATGATTATATTAAATAGCCTACATAGATACTGATTAGTGATTGGTCAAAGCGCCAACACGTGACTATATAGAGCTGCAAGGATCTCCAACTTTATATTGCCCGATTGACGTCACCTCGGTCCGTTATATTGGACCGAGGAGCGTCATCACCTACGTCATACTGCATATATTTAAACGTCTTTGGTTGCCGCCCTTTGGCAGCCGCAGTGCCCTGCATGCAGACAACGAACTAGCCAACAGCTCCGCGCCGCCGCCCCGCACCGGCACCCGCGAATCTTAAATTTCTTCTGACCAAACACGGCGAGTGCAAGTCGATTTCAATCCCTCGACGAGGAGGAATTATACAGAATCGTTGACACGAAGGATTCCCATTGTACAAAAGCAGGGTTCAATTCATCGGTGAACATTCTTAGTCAGTACTGTATAGAAAAAGGCACTTCCCAGTAGATGAACGTTCTATGCTGAGGTAAGATGAACGACTGGTGAGCGATGTACGCTAAATTAAGATCCAAGATAACTCGACGCTACGGACTAGAAAGATATTTTAATAGAGTGAGGGAATTTGACATTGTGAATGAAGCACAATTTAAACAATCCAGTGAAATTTTTCAAGGCAAACTAGCTGGCAAGGAATCTGTCACCCACAAAGATCCAATTTCTAAGGAAGGCTAAATAAAATCCTCGTCAGCGTTAGATGTGAACACAGCTAAAGGGTGTCAGGCCAGATCTGCCGAAAAATGGGAACCAATATTGAGCTTTGCCAACAATGATAAGATAAATAACAACATAATATAAATAAAAACAAACTAATAAGGCACTGGTTTTTTTTTTAACTATGACCAAATAGCTAAATGGCCCTTTGAGAGCCTGAAACTTTTCAAAGATAAAGAATTAGAAATCAATTACAACTTTTTCTTGTAGCATGGACCTAGATTGACCTCCCATAGCTTACTGAAAAAATTTCAACATTGCTTTATGTGCATGAGGTATCCCTAAACAGCCAATTGTTTACGGAATTTTGTAACAAAATTGACATACCTTTTTGGTTGGAGCCGAAAAAAATATATACCCACAAACAATATGTTTTTTTTTCTATTGATGTTTGATGAGCATGGGTGGATCTAAAAGAAAGTTAACAGTAATCTGAATTAACTCCTGTATTTTGATGGAACAGTGCAATTAAAAATGGTGTTTCGGACGTTACATTTTCCGTAAACAATGTAGACCCTCATTTAACCCACCAGAACAATAAATTAATGAGACTGTTTATGGTTTGAATAGGCTTATTAGTTACTCCAAGTCATTAAATTAAAAGAAAATATAATTTTATTGTAGTAGCGCTTATATTAGAAACATACTCAAAATTTGAAAAAGTTGTCTCATTTTCCGTAAACAATTTTGTAACGTCCGAAACAACTTTCAATTTGAAGTAGCAGAAAATATATGAACTGCAGGACCTATCTTTCGTAATTTTTTTAAAACATTTCATGGCGGCTACCCACCAAAAAAAAGAAATTTGCAATACATCATTGCAATACTATTTTATAGTTAAAACCAATTTTCCGTTAACAGTTGTAACGTCCGAAACAAATGTAACGTCCGAAACAAAAAATACCAAATAAATGATGATAATCCATATTTGAGGGTATCTGGAGTGAATAAATCATTATGAAAGAAGTTATTATAAGTGTTAACTCAAGTCAAAACACAAATCAGGTATTCAAATCCAATAATTTTGTGTAAGCTCAAGAAAGGTGTTTCGGACGTTACACTATTTGATTGTTAACACATAGTTTGCAAATTTCAACTAATTTTCGATCATATGTGCAAGTTACGATTTCACAATGCACAATCCTGTTGAAAACACTATTTTGATAATTTCATTTAGATCTAAATATAAAAATATGAAGAAATATGATGCGAAAAACCAAATTTCCGTTAAATATCTGAATTTTCTGCAAAATTGGCTTATAAAACATAAAATATTAAAGCCACTCATTGTGATGCAAGGCATGGCTGGCTGCTTTAATATATCCTTATTTGTAATTTATCAGAAAAAATCTTAATAAAAGTGACTCATACAAAATATTCAGCCATTTTAACAGCACTTTCTGGTATGCTGTTAGCACGTTTCGGATGTTACATTAAACTGTTAACAGACATTTTCATAATTTATCTAGTTCAAATGAGGGGCAAAGATAGATGTGAGAATAGCAAATTTCAATTTTTCAACCTCTCCTCTTGCTATTTACATTGCTGTGTGTTTGCAAATCATCAGGTTTTTATTTTTACAGAGGTTTTTCCAAATTATGTCATATAACCAAAAATTGTATGGTCAATCTAAACTATTTGGTAGGTTACAAAAGCTAAAAATCATCCACTTAAGCAATACCCAGTGTACATGTACATTACACGGGTATGATACAGGTATATAAAGTTAATAAAATCAAGCAAATTAAAATGTTTTTCTAAAAAATAATGGGAAATATGGATTTTCATTTGAAAATACCTTTTAAAAAGGGCACTTAGTACACGTAACTAATCTGTGTAGAAAGTACATACATGTATAAAAGAAAAGGGCATTACCAGTAATACCTTATTTAATGATCCTTAACATATACAAGTAGTATCTTCTTCAAATGTATGCATACATACAAAATGTATAAGCTAGTGTAGGGATTTATTTCGAACTTCTGAAACTCCCCTTCATATCCATGATTCATCCCTTTCATATTAATAGGTCATCCCTCATTTTCATTCACCCTTTTCATCCACCATCCTTTCATCTGTCTATCTCTCTCTCTCTCTCTCATTGGTTTCAATGTTCACCTGATGCAGTCGAGCTTATATAGTATAATTTGCATATACTATGAATATTCAATATATACTCTTGGTTTATGTTTGAATATTCAGGAATACTTTGTGATGTTGATTTATACTTGTATCGGACTATATGAATATTTATTGATTTCTTCTACTTTGCATGGAATGTATGTGGAATGCTACATAGAATGCTGTAATGCTTTTACACATTAAAACCTGGTCAGTTAGCCAGTAGTTATCAATCCTACAACATATCTGCTGGGCTGCCTCTGTGTTAAGAGTGCTAGGAATTATCTGTTAGAACCGCAACCCGACACTAGTGTGAAATATAAATGGGCTGTCCGTTTTTTTTTTCTTTTCCTCTACGAAATGTCAAAGTTGGGGGTGCGGCGCTGCGGCCTTATCGCCGGCAAAAACGGTACATGTTTAACCTATACTGTATATTGTTTGTCACCTGTGATATCGGCACAGCAAGAGTTAAGATCTATCAACCAACCAACCGACCAACCAATCAATCCATCCATTCATCAATCGGTCATCAATTAAATAAATAAATAAATACTTATTTAAGAGCATTAAAAAATGTTGTCGTTTGAAACAGCCTCCTAATACAAATAGTGGTAAAGGATGATTGTTACTACAGTAGTATTATAACCTAAATCATACACAATTTTAAAATACATCTAAAATGTCTCATTCTCGAGATGTACAAACATTAGGATTCACTTATTTCTTATTACCGTACTTACATGACTGGGGGTACTTTTTTTATAGTTTTATTTTTAAAAAGATTTTTCAATGTTTTGCTTACATACATGTATGTGTTAGTGATATTATTGAATGACACACTATATAGTTGAAGGCAAAGAACATTAGCAAGCTGATTAAACATCTATATTGTAGAGTTTGTAGAAATTGATGATCTCATTGAAATGTTAACATCGTGTAACATCCGAAACAAACCATAGTTAATCCTAACATGCAATAAAGAGTATGTTTCTAAGTGAATTTTCTAAGGAGTTTTGATGCCTAAAATTGCTATTAGCTTTATATTTCATTCTGTTAGATCACATAAACATTTTAACTACCGGTACACATTCTTGAAATGAATAATATACCTTACATAAATTGAGTGGTCGATGAAGACAAACTTGGTATACATGTATGTGCTAAACTAATTAAAACTGCACAATTTTTTTCCATAAATGTTACAGAAGTATTTTTCTGCAAACAATTAAAGTAACTGAGGTCAGTAATACCTAAAGAAAAGCAATTAACTTGAATAGAGTTATAATGTTAACAGTGTGTAACGTCCGAAACATCAGTGGTGTGACATTGAAAATTATTAGGCAATGCACTGGTTCCCAAGTTTTTCGCAAGTATTTACCTTATATCATCAGTAGTTATAATAAAATAAGTTTGACCTAAGAAAAAAGCATTTTACCTATTGAATTAAAAACTTGTTATTGTCAAAACCCTAATTTAGAGCTATTTTTCACTTTCAAGGGATACAAAATCTGTATTTTTCAAGATAGAAACTCAAAAATTTGCATGAATAATCTCTGAAACATATTCTTAAAGACCCAACATATTTAAAGGTGTAGTTAATAGCAAATGAGTTTTATATCACAGTTATAAGTTATGCTATAGTTCACAATAAAATTGTAAAAACTCAAAGTATTCATATCTGGTGAATAAATAAGGAGATAGATTAAGGTCCAGAATTTGCATTTCTCAAAAATATGATTAGTCCTGTTCCTAAAAATACAAGTTTGAAATGAGTAAAAATAATTTCATTTTGGACCCATTTGTGGACACATTTGGTATAAGTTAAAAAAACCAGTGCCATAAACAAAATAATATTTAATACATAATAGATACTTTATCCATAAATACACGAAAGAAAACTAAGTGCAATGCATCGA